CCGTTCGACGGATCGACATCTACGCTCTTTATCTTTCCACCGCTCGAACACCGAGACACACACCGATCGATCGTTTCGCCTTCTGTTTCCGACTACTGCTCTCGCGTGATTCCAGTCGAACTTTAACGAAACGTAACGAATTCGCCTGGATCGAACGAAACGCGATGGCCGCGGAGAGCGAAAGAGCGAGCGAGAGAAGGAGAGAGGAGAGAGGAGAGAGGAGAGAGGAGAGAGCCGAGGTTGGAAAATAGGTTTTTTTCACGGAACGGTGCGTTTCATCGAAAGCGAGATATCTCCGGCAGACGAAAAAGGGAAGTCGATTTACCCGAAAAGCACGTGTTCTCTTTACAGATAAGGTCGCTTCGAAGGAGTTCGAGTCGGAGTCGGTGTTGCACGAGTAATTGCGCAAGAAGAATCTCATAGGGGCGATACGTCGCGCGATTCTTATCGCGTTTATAAGCGTACGATGACTCGCGCGAGCGCCAGCACGAGTGCGCGAGGTAAATGCGATTACGACTATAATGGTTACAAACACAGACGTGCAAAGTGGCCGCGTGACGTTCACGTGGAGAATGCCAGTGCTTAATGGCCGCTCCATGCTACTAATTGCTCGATCGAATACGATTACACTCTGGCGGAAACGCGAGCCAGACCGTCCGTAACGTTCGCATTATCGCCCACGACTAGCCTATAATAAAATCGTACCACGAATCGAGAGACACCGTGTCCCGTGGTTATCGTTGCTCCTCTATTCCATCGATCCAACCAATCATCCTTTTTTCCCCAATCGAGATTCGCTTCTTTCCCCGTACCGACGCTGTACGATACGCTTACGCGATGTACGAAAAGACGCGACAGGTTAACGCCGACTCCTCGAAATATCGCAGACGTATAAAATTGTCGCGACGACGCTGCCGCGTGCAAATAGAAAATAGAAATGAGTTTAGAAATAGCGTCGCCAGTCGTCGGCCTAGAATTCGATCGGTCGTAGCCCACTGCGACACTGTTTCGGCTTACTTGGAACGCGTCTCGTCTAGTTTCGTTAGAATCGTGCCGCGTTCGCGTCACCCCTCCGCGCCATTCCAACCACAACGCGAAATCTTTAAACGCGAATTTTCGAATAACCATCCTACATCTACCTACGTATGTCCGATCGAACGAGCAACGAGCAACGAGCAACGAGCAACGAGCTTACGTTTGCACGCGTGGAACGCGATTAAGGAGCAGCCTGTGGATGGGCCACGGACGAAAATACGCTTCCTCGAACGTAGCAGCATCCTGTCGGAAAAATACTGACCGTGCAATCGACCGATCGGATACGGTAGACCAGGTCGGTGTAGGGGACGATACTATTGCACGCTCGCGACTTCCTTCCTCCGACGCGAAGAACGAGCGAGTAAACGCGAATACTACTGGCATCGCGAATAGAGAAGCTGCTGCCCTCGGGTAGTGGTTTCATTCATAAAGTCACGCGTTTAGCGAGGAAACGTTTGCACGCGTTAATAACTAGAGGAAAGGTTGGCGCGTCGTAAAGACCTTAAAACCTGTACCGGAACGGCTATCTCGTTTCCTTCGCCGTGGATGCCTCGTCGCGGATGCATCGTCGAGGAAGACGTTACTCGTAGCGCGATTATTCTCTGGAACGGTGCCGTTTCGTTTTTACCGCGAGAAAAATCGATTTTTCGGCGTGTCACGCGACGATAGACCGTGGGAGAACCACGAAATTAGGGAAGAAAGTAGACGTATAGAATTTCGGGCAACGTAGACGCGATACGCGTAGTCTTGGATCTCGCCTTTCAAAGTGCGCTGACCCTTCAGGCTTGGGCGGAACTCCTTCGCTTCCGGTGTTGTTCCGCCGCTGCTATTGCTATATATAAGCACACGCGCTTTTGTTGGCTCACAACCCATGGGCCCAAACGTTTATTCGCGTGCCTTCTAGAAAATGCTCCGACGAATCGGTCCGCCCGGTCGATTCTCTTCGCCATTCGTTCGTTCATCGATCCAAAATGGACGAAACGTGGAAAATCATCTCGTACAGACCCGTTTCAAATTATCCGCGAGATATGCATTTCCAAGCGTGTTCTAGACGAATTTCGAAATGTCAGGAAGAAGGCTCTACTGTTTCCTTCTGTGAATACGTTTTGCGAGTAACGGTGTATCGCGCGATACGAAATACGGAAAGGAAATTGAAATCGTAAGTAGAAAACGAAAAAGCTGCGGCCCAACGAAACCAACTATCCACTAAATGAGTGTACTCACGAGAAACGTTTCCTTGGATCGTCGGTTGAAGACGTCTTCCAAATGCTGTACCAGCTACTATCATGGACATCATTTAGATATACTTATTCGACGTAACACCGATTACCGTTTTTGTCGATCGTTCGTTTATTTGGTAAATATAACGTGGCGAAAAGATAGCGTCGTACATTTGACATCTTCCTACGACTTCCGGCGCTAGCTGGAGGTCGAAGATTACTTTTTGTCTAAAGTTCGTTGCCACGTGGCAATAATGGGAGAGGGGGCACCAGCCAGTAGTAGCAGCAGCAGCAGCAGCAGCAGTAACAGCAACAGCAACAGCAGCAGTAGTTACAGCGGCAACAGCAGCGATGACAGCAGCGGCAACAGAAGCAGCAGCAGCAGCAGCAGCAGCAGCAGAGTCAAAAGGTCGACCGCATTGCCGCTACGATTAAATCATCACCGTCGACGAACGACGCAAAAACGGGATAAAATATTTCGAGGAAATCTCGCGTCTTTCGATTCGATTTCATATCGAAAAGGTCCAACTCGCGTGAAGGAATCGAGGAACGGTTCGGGTGAATACCGGAAGAAAAACGGGAGGAAACGCGATAAGGAGGACGCGTCGGCCCAGAAAATGCAATGTGGCAACTGTTACGTAATAACGAGCACACGTTACACGGGATGGGGGTGGTGAGAGAACGGGACGGCGGACGTGGCGGGGACGGTGGGATACCGATAAACGAGAATGAAAAGAGCAATATCCATGGGGAATATGAACGGGAATCGGGCAACGAGGGAAAATCTCGTATCGCGCAACGACTCACAGGTCCGACTGAAAATGTCGTGATGGCAAACGACGTCTCCTCCCGATGACATCTCTCTGTGAAAGCGTTAAAGCAGAATGGGAACAAAGTGGTAGCACATGCGATACACGAAGCGCGACGAACTGGAAATCGGTATGCGTCGCGAAAGTCGACGAGTGGAGGAGATCGATCTCTCGTCACCGTGTATCAACACTCCAAGTCCTCGAGAACTCGACGCGATTTCGCTGGCGCGCGTCATCGACGAAACTCGTCGTCGTTGCGTCGCGTCGCGTCGCGTCGCATCCCGTCGCATCGCGTCACGTCGTACGTGCGCCACCGCGTCGAAGACGCGCAGGGCAAAGTGCATCGTAAGACTACTGTCGGGTGCAGCACCGGTGCTCCGGCTTTCCGATGCAACGCGTTACCCCTCAGCCCCTCGACCGCTCGCTCTATGCCCCTCCCTCTTTCGCTCAACCGACCGTGCGCACAGCCACGACTAATGCACCACGTGACCATCCCTTTAACTTTAGCAAACCGATTACCGCACCACTCGTCACGACCACCAACGTTTCCTCTTCCTTCTTAATCTCTTTCTCCTCCGTCTCTGCCCCTCTTTCCAACGTCCTCTTCCTTTTGCTTCGAGCTTCTCCGCACTTTTCTTCCTTCGCTACCGTTCCTTCCATCCTTCTTCCACCACCGCCTCCTATTCCTGCTCCTCCTCCTCCGCCACCTCCACCACCGCCGCGTCGCTCGTATCTGCATCTACCGCTGCTGCTACTACTACTACTACTACTACTACTACTACTACTACTGCTGCTACTACTACTACTACTACTGCTACTACAACTACCACTACTACTACTACTATTACTAAACTATTACTACTACTATTACTACTCCGCCACCTCCTCCAAAACCTCTTCCTTCTCTCCCAATTTCCCTTCGCCAACCCCTTTGCCGCGTTTTGACCATCCAACGATTTTTTCACTCTCCCGTTCTTCGCTACCGAAATATATCTCTATTTTTCTCTAACAGCCATCTGTCCCTCCTTTTCGTGACGTTCCAACGTGTCGTGTCCCACCTCTTTTCGCGTCTACGCGTCGCTGAATGCGAGTCGTGTTCGTCTTCGTCGGACATCGAGGAAGTAAACTCTCTCTCGCGTGCGCGCGCGCTTCTCTACGTCGCGCGGGGAAACGTTTTGCCAGCGCCAGGCTTTCTCGCGTTTTCTCCGTCTCGCCGAGACGAAAGCACGCTCTCGTATTCCGTCTCTCTCGCGGGCTGGATTCCGAGCACTGCGTCATTTCTGTACGGCGTATGATTCGTCCTCTCGCTCCGATTCGCTCTCTCCGTCGTACTCTTTCTTCGACACCGATGCTTCTTCCCTCCCCCGGTCGGCATCATCCCCACCAGCTTTGGGTCGTCTCGTTGCACCGGGAAACGAGCGGTGCAGCCGTCCTTGTTGCTCGGTTCCATTCATACCTCGGCTCTCTTTGGGTTATGCAACTTCGGCGAGACGCGAGACGCGAGACGCGAGACGAGGGTTGCGTCGACTGCACCGATGCCGCACACGCTCGTTTCACCGAATCTTGCCTCGCCAACAGCTCCGACTAACGTTGCCGGACTAACGTTTCCGTCCATGCACTCTCCGTGCACCGCGTCAGGCATGCATACACACACACACATACACACACGCACGCACGCGCGCGCGCGCGCCTCGCTGTTCCTTTATCACGGGGAGAAAAACACCGCGACTAGAACTGCGCAACGATCCAATTTTTTCCCCTCTTCGCGTTGCGATATCGGCAACCTTCCTCTTTTCGTCGTCTTTTCATTCTCGATTCGCACGCGTTTCTCGTTCTACGCGTAGAAGAGAGGAATACGTCGAGATTGTCGTTTCGCACCTGTGCACGAAATTGCGACCGATGGGAACGGATTTGGATTTCGTAAACGTCGGTTCAGGGCGAGGAAGAGTAAAAAAAAGTCCTGCTTGTATTCCGTCTAACCGTTAGAATTCGTACTCGGCTTTATTGCTGCACTCGATACAAACGAATCGCTTGTAGTACCAGTGTCGTGAAAGGTTCCAGTCACGCGATGAAATTTCAACGATGATGTCCACGACGATGTCCGGATTGCTACCTACGATCGAAGAACGCATCCGTCGCTGTTCCGACTCGATCGTTTCCTATTTACACAGACACGCTAGACGCACAGGTAGACACACCTCGAAAACCTTTCCACTGGCTATGTACATCGCCTGAAGTGTTTAATATCGATACAGTTACGACGTAGTCGATTACAATTCGAAGAAAGTTCCCAAAGCACCACTCTTTCACCGCCGACTATATGTATAGGTATGTACAGGTAGGTTTGATACGAAGGTTTAATACGAAGCGAGCTACGATCGATTCCTTCGGCACCGGAGCAACGATAACGTCCAGAAGTCGGTATCGTTGACGCGTGTAGCTTCGGTCGAGAATCGCTCGTAGACGTAGGAACGTGAGAAATTACTGCCGTATTCGTAACGCGAAGAGACATCGCTTCTTCGAGATGAACGTGCGCATACGCGTGTAAGTACATGCGCTTTTCCCCTCGCGCTTTCGAAGAAGCGACCTCGAGGAATTTCGCGTATCTCTGTACACGAGTAACGCGCGAACTTCTTATTTCTATCTATGAATTTATTACGTACGAAAAAATAGTACTTTTATCTTACAGGTAATAATAATAATGGTGGTGGAACGTCGAGCTCGAAACGACGCGCGCGACGACCACGACAAACGTTTCGTTTGCCGGTACAGCCACGCTGTACGGTGGATCGATAAAATGAAACGTAGTTGGCAAGATCGAAAAGAGCTCCTCGTTGCGACAAGTGGATGTACTCCTGGATCTAAAACTGGTCGGGGGGTGGATATTATACAATGGCAAGATAGTGGTTATAAACTTATGCATCTAAGACACGAGATAACGTATCGATACACGCGTGTCGATCGCACGTTTACTCGTTCGAGCTTTCGAATCGATCACGAACGACGAACCGATTGGACAAGCGAATTGGACGTCGTGGATATACAGCGTGGTAAATGTGCGTGCATTTATCTAGCATGCTTCGAACGATTGCGTGCTTGTCGTGCGAAAGACACCGTCGAGATTGCGATGTTCGTGTTATTCGTGAGAGAGAATCCGACCGAAAGAAAGAAAGCTACGCGGGACCTTACGTAACGAAGCAAAGAGCTGCACCGATTCTTCGCGATTACGTCCTCGAACGAGATTATCCTTTGCTATCGCGAGGTTCCAACTTTCCCGTTTAAACGTGCAGGATTTTTCGTTACTTACCGATTCCGATGTCTCCGCGATGCGACCGCGCGTCCAAAGGAATTCGACCGCGTTTTTCCTCCATACGATCGCGTATGGACGAAAAGCGAGGAAACGAGAGACGAGGAGACAGAGAGGAAGAGAGCGAGTAAAGGATAATGCAACGTCTCGCACCAGGAAAGAGACGAACCGCGCAGTAATCGCTCGATGTTTTCCTCCTCGTCGCGACGAACATCGGCTTGGAACAACGTCGTAAGGAGAAATCAGAGAGATCGTCATCCGATCGATCTGATCGACTTCGAAATCGGATCGACGAAGACTAGATACGTGGAAGATACGGTTCGATTATTCTTACGCGGGATACGGAATTGCGTCGAATTCGGTATCCCGCTGCACGAAAGCTCGATCGATTCGCGATCGAGAGATTCGAAGTGTTGTCGCGAGGGAAAAGTTGCTAGGAATTTTTCGCGCTGATACCTTAAAAGAATATGCAAAACTAGACGGACATCGATTAGCGAAAACGCTCATTTCGCACGACCTTTACGCTAATCCGACGTCTAGGGACATCATTACCAAGAAGCCAACGACGGCAGCCCAGCTGGCGAGTTTACCGTTTCCACTGCAATCAGAAAGCAAGAAAAATGTTTTCTCTCAAAGACCAAGAGACCGATGACAAGACACACCAATATCGGACATGCTCTCTTTCGTATCTGGGGATAGATCCAAAGGAACGAAAACGTGGAACTGGATGCTTCGACGACGACGACGACGACGACGACGACGACGACGACGACGACGGAGGCGGTTAGTTGGACGGAGAAGGTGAAAAATCGAATGCTGGAAGAGGCAGAGTGGGTACGAAAAAATTGGGATGGCCGAGGTTGGAGGGAACGGCATATCGGGGCCAAAGATGGTGCAAGTTTCCTCGACCGGGGAAACGAGCAGCGTGGAGAGAAAGAATAACGGGATGGCGAGAAATAAAAGGGTTTTCGCGGTATAAGTAAGGATTAAGCACACACAAGGCACACACGTTCGTACTCGGTATTGCACGACACGGCTTGTTGATTTCGTAAATTATACACGGCCATCAATTTTAACGGCTGGTGAAATGCGCCGTTGTGTTTCGGTGGGCGTTCTACCACATCAATCATATCCGCGCGGTAAATACCTCCTTTCGGTGTGCCTCGGAAATTTGTATTTTTATTAGCCATTACAGCTCATAGTCGCTACGAAATCTCGGCCCGAAAACGACGCGACGCGACCACTACTCTTCGCGTCGAGTTCTCGATCCCGTCCAACATCGCGAGATGATCGCGAGAAGATCGCGTAATATCGGCCGGACGGAATTCGCGCGGAAAGTAGGCGTTCGCCGTTAGCTACGCGAGGCTACGAATCCGAAACGAGGCATTCCTTTTCAATCGAGAGCACGATCGCGTAAACGATCATCGAGGACCCACCGCTCCAAGAAACCGGCTAGTTCAGCGGTTGCAGTTCAAGAAAAATGAATTCTCGAAGAAAAAAGAAAAAGAAAAAGGCAGGGGAAAGGGAGCCACCTTTCGATCGGTACTAACTAGCTCGGACTAGTGTTCTTTTCTTCCCTTTTCGAACAGAGTCCTCGCGCGTACGCGTGCGCGTGCGCGCCGCTGCGAAAACTAATCGATTCTCGGATCTCGCAAACTTTCTCCTATCCTTATCCCTTTACGCTTCTTTACTCGATATCGCTCGATCTCGGAGTGCTAGCGAGCGCGTTTACCTTTACCGACGAGACTCTGTTGTCCCGCTAAACCAGAAAGCAAAGTGAACATTGTAATCTCTCTCTCTCCCTCTTTTTCTCCCTTTCCCCTCTTTTACCTCGCCGTAGTCTCTCTTTTGAAAATGATCACACGCGGAGCACATGCGACAGAGTTTCTCGCCTGTTGGAGGTCAAGCAACGGTTTACAGGGGCAGAGGGGAATCGATTTTCACTTTTATGTTTCCCGAAGCTCGGAGGGTTCCCGAGGGAGCGGACTCGGATCCACTGTCTCAGGAGCGGTACACGAGCGCGCGAGCAGTCTGTACCGTACACCGTGGTCGAGTATCCGGGCAGGGCGGTTAGATCGCACGCGAAATACAAAAGAAGCCAATTATAATGACAATGCGTCTTCAGCTAGGTAGTCGAGCCTGGGAAAGAAATTCGCCACGTCCGTTTTACCAACGCCGCGCTAACTACGCTACTGCCGTCACGCGCCATTGTACCGTAATCGTTCTCGAATATGCCATACATGTGCCTCCTATCCTCCTAGACCCGTACAATGGGTATCCTCTTTACCTTTCCATCGCGCAGTGACGTACGACCGATCGATAAAGGAGGAGAGATAGAAAGAAAGAGGGAAAGAAAGAGAGAGAGAGAGAGAGAGAGAGAGAGAGAGAGAGAGAGAGAGAGAGATTTTATTCCCAGTTTTTTACGAAAACGTGTCAAAAATGAAACTAACCTTTGATGCGCTTCCGGGACGATATCGTCGATCACGACATAGATCATTGCACCGGCTGCGAAGGCGAGTGCATAAGGTAGCGCGGGTTCAGCGAACGACACTCCGGCTGCGCCAAGGACGCCGGCAAGAGGTTCTACCATCCCCGAGAGTTGTCCATAGCAGAAGCTCTTCATGGTGCTAATTCCAGCCGCTTGAAGGGGTAAAGACACCGCCAATCCCTCGGGAAAATTCTGAATACCGATTCCGATTGCGAGATTTCTGTAACGAAAGGAAGAAACGATCTTGTTGGTACGGTAATAGGTAGCGAGGAGAAGGAGAGATCTCTGTTAGTCGATATCGATGGACACGCGGCACGAAAAATAAGTATGCCCGCTTTAGCGAGAAACGCGTATCACGATCGGACGATAAGAATAAAAGCGGGGAGACGAGGTGACTCTGCGCGATCATGGCGAGTTCTCGAAACTGGTAAACGACGTTCTCTGGATTTTTCCATTTCCTCATAGTTACGAGCTACGAGTGGTTTCCTCGGGTGGTCGTTTCGAACGCTCCGAACCGAGCAGCTAATCGCTATTCTTCCACGTTTCGGCTACCCGTCCGTCCCTGTCTAACCTATTCGAATCTTAGACGAACCATAGACGAGCAAGGTGTTGCCTGATCCGACGCGATGGATGGTCGATAGAGCAACGGTTAGAATTTCCAAGGAACAATAGATTAGCGGTCGGTCGGTCGGTCGGTCGGTCGGTAGAGAACGGCGACGTGGTCGAGCAGGTGAATGAATGACGCGCACCGAGCTCCTCCTTCCGATGCATGATCACCGCGCTCTCTCGTACAGGCCGAGCACATGGTATGGTATGTCATGCTGCGGCGTGTAGCACGTTATTTCATGGGACGGCATCGTCGTCGCGTTCCTACAGCATCGACGTACATAAGTGGTTGTACAGTTAACCCGTCGGGTCCGGCTGTTCGCCAGTTGCACCAGGGGAGGTCACCCGAGTTCCAAGAATGATCGCCTCCTTCCACCATTCTGGCTTCATCTTCTTACTTTTCTCTCTTCCTCGCCCCGTCCTACTCTCGCCCCCTCCTTCCAACCGCCCGTTTCTTTGCTCGTTCTTCTCTTTTCTCTCGCTTCGTCCAACCGCGCCCTCCGACAGGCAGCTTTCTTTTCCTTATCGGCTTCTTCTTTCCGATTTCCACGGTCAGGGCTGCTACTCCCGATGCATCTACCCCGCTGCTGCCGGGACAGCTAGACTGACCAGCGCCATTCGGGGACACGTTCGATCAGCGATTCCCTTCCTCTCGCAAACACGACGTCCACGAAAACAGCGCGATCCTTTCCTTTCCCAAATTCCGCCGTTTTTCTTCATCCCTCTTCCCTCTTCCCTCTGCGTACGCGATTCGCTCGATTCACGCACACGCGTGCCGCAGTAACGTTTAAAGGGGGTTATTAACCGTCGTTATCTCTCTTCTTCTCGAATGTCGGCTGTTTCTAAATCGGAATGCGTTTATCGACAACCAGTTACCGAGAGCTGCTTACGCGCGATCCACCAAACAAAGGAAGAGCGAAGAGGAGACACGAGAGAGGAGAAAAAGAGAGAAAAAGAGGGAGAGAGAAAGAGAGAGACCTCGAGCCGAAGTCCATTCATAAACTTTTTCGTGCTGTCGCACGCTAGCGAGATCGCGGCGCTAAGGTTCGCCTTTCAAATTAGAAACGCAGGCATCCATCGGTGGAGGAATCGCGCGCGCGGGCGTCGCGCTGTCTCGAGCCGAAAATCCAACGTTTCTCCGAGCAAAATAATAGAGGATCTAGCCGAACTGGTAATTACGAGGGAAAAGAAAAGAAGAGGACGAATTTAACACATCTATGTTTCGTTTCCCGTGGTAAAAGTCGTAGACAAGTCACCGATATACGTAGCGGGTACATCGGTTAGACTGTCACGTTCGATCGAGTGGCAAATTCCGTGACTTAGCGGACGTGTGCTCGCAAAAATTGACACGGTGGAGCAAAAGAAAGAGAGACGAATAAACAAGAAATTTTGGAAAATTATAAGCTCGATCGTAGATTTCGCAGAATTTAACGGACAATCGAATATAGCGGTACAATCTACCGGTGTGTATCAAAATGGCGGTCGTATAGCTTCGTTGAACACACGGCAGTCGCCATTTTGCATTCCACGAATAACCGTGACTGCCTTTAAGCGGCAACACCTATTCTCGGTTTCAACGACTCACGGGATCGCGAATTTCGTTTTCGCGATCATCGGATTTGCCTTCGAATGGCAAAACAGCGACAAAAATCGAATCTCCGGAGAGGGATCGGAACGAGGAACGTGCTCGATTCGAAGTCGCTAGCCTCGGCGAGCCCTTTGTCCCGACGCGGAACGATCCGTCGCATTCCATCGATCTCGAGGTTGAAAGTAGCACGGCGGCGGCGGCGGCAGCAGCAGCGGCGGCAGCGGCAGCATCAGCATCAGCATCAGCAACAGCGACGACGGTAGTGGCGGCGACATCGGCGATGGCTAGCAGCAAAATTCGTTCGCCGCCGATACGATAACGAGTGGTTTTTCGCTGGTCCGAGACTCGACTTCCAAGGGAAGCGTGAAACGAACGCGAGGAGTAGGAGGAGGAAGCCGAAGAAAAGGAAGAGACACGCGAAAGGACGCGAACGCTGGAAGAATTCCGAAGGAACTCGCGAAGAATCTCCGTTGGAGGGATTGGCCGCGCGATTGGTGAACCTGCGAGATGCGAATAGAGATAGAGCAAGCCACGGTACTAGACCCGGAGACACGGAGGATCTCGAAACGAAGCGAGAGAGTGAGAGAGTTAGGGAGAGAAAGAGAGAGCGAGAGAGAGAAAGAGAGAGAAGAAGCCAATGTGCGTTACGCGCGAGACTTTAGGTGTGCGTTTATGTTCATACATTGTAGGAACCGCGTTAAAAAGAGAGGCCAAGGAAGAGAAGATCAGCGAGCGACAAGCGTACACGTATAAACGCGTTCGTATGAGAAAACTGAGGAGCGAGCGAGACAAAAAGGAGAGAGCGGGAGGAGAGGATTGGGAGAGAGAGGGAGAGAGAGAGGGAGAGGGAGAGAGAGAGAGAGAGAAAGGTAGAGAGGGGGGACAGAGGGTGGTGGCGATGGAGAAAGAGAGGGATAAGGAGAAAGAGCGAGGGGGAGAGAGAGAGAGAGTAGGGGGGACGAGAGAGGGAGTAAGGAATGCATGGGAACGAGGCGCAAGCGGGCCGACCGCGATTTGCCCGTCCCGCATTCCACCAACGCCAAGGCGAGTTCTCCGGCTCTTCTCGGCTCCGAGTCCCGAGGCCACCGGCCACGGCTTAACACCATAAAATCATAAGACCAAGATCAACCCCGCTCTTCTCTGCTACCTCCGGCATCGTTGCGCGCCTTTTAATGTCAAACAGAAACGCGTTTGCCGATTCTCGCGAACCTGTTCACTCCTTCCCATCTCCTTTATTCTTCGCCCCTTTTTCTCCTATTCTCTTTTCACCCCATTTCACCCCTCAGACGAAACGTTTGCTAGCTTAGCTTGGCAAAGGTTACTCGGCCGCGTCGCCGCGTGACACGAGAGAGAGAGAGAGAGAGAGAGAGAGAGAGAGAGGGGGGGGCTTCGTTTACAGCGGTGGTTGTGGAAATTTTAGGAATCGTTTCACTATGAAATAATTCGCACGCATTCCAACGGGTAAGGTGGCTGTTACCGAATCGGGAACGGTCGGTCTGTCGGTCGGTCGGTCGATCGGACGATCGCAGAGATTCCGACGGCAGGTGTCCGTCGCGAGCCACGGAGATCGAAGCGGAGGAAGAAATAGCCTGAGCGCAGTTGCTCGTAGACGCGAGCGAGTAACACCATGGCGGTAGTTGGATCCGCGAGAAGACGCTAGAATTCGTCGAATAGTCCGTGCAGACGATCGTCGTCTCGAGATCGTCGTCCCGAGGTCGTCGTCGAGGGACATAACGGATCCGGCTGTTCGTCTGTTCCGAGTAAGGTACGCGCTGCGCATGCGTAATGCCGCTGCATTCCACGCATTGCAAAGTCGCTGCACCGTGCACGCCGGTGCATCGCCCGATGCCAGAGAAAGAGAAACGAATTAACCGAGACACCGAGCAGGAGCGAGAGATAGACCTGACAACCGAGAGAAGAGAGAGCAGGAGGAAGTCGCAATGACAAACGTGCTCTCTCCGATCGGTCGTTTGATCGCCCCTTTCTCTCTCTCCCTCTCTCCTCCTCCTCCTCCTCCTCCTCCTCATTCTCTTCCACTGTTTTTTCGTCTTTCTGAAAAACCCACCAGAGGAAAACGAGGCGTCCTTCTTTTCCACGCGTATCACGAGAAGAGTGTAGGTACGTTTTCGCGATGCGGCGCATTCGACCTAGACGAGAAGAGAGACGAGAGGAAAGGAAAGAGGAGAGATCGCGAACGCGAAATACTAGCCGAGAAAAGTATCGGCGTGTCCGCTAGCTCGGAGAATGTCTCGCGAGTCGAGTTCTCGGAATCTTTCGGTCGTGAACGGCTGCACTCGAACCATCTCGTATACGTATACACGTAGAAAATCGAGGAGAGAAGAGGAGAGGAGAGGAGAGGAGAGGAGAGGAGAGGAGAGGCGAAGAGGTGGAAGAGAGAAAGAGAGGAAGGGAGCGAGAGGAAGGAAACGTTGTCCGGCCGTGTCTCGAGGGGATCGAAATCGATGCGAAGGAATGTTCGTCTTCCGTTGATAACGGAAGGTGGTCTTGTCGCGGAGAAGGTTCCTAGTTACGGTCAGCGTGTCTATCGCGGCGCACGTGTACTCGCAATACTATGCATCGAAGTCAAACGGAAGATACTATATCGTAGCTGACTTCCGTTGCTATTAACACGCGTCGAAACTGGCTTTCCGCGTATGATAAGCACGGATTACACGGTGCAACGATTAAGGGTTAGAGGCTCCGGTACCGAATCCGAAAATCCAATCTATCGCGTGTTCGGCTCTCTCCCTCCCTCTCACTCTTTCTCTCTCGCTGCGAAAATTTAGTTGCGAGCAAGAAACGAATTACGAACTATCGCGCTTATAGTTGGTACACGATGCTACAACGTTCCGGAGATACAGGAAGAGAGAAGGAGCCAAAGATAGCCAGAGCCCACGTTCGAGTGGACAAAGGACAGCGGAGATAGAGACAGGGAGAGAGAAAGGGTAAAAAGGTAGAGAGAAGAGAGTGGGCCAGTAAAAAGAGAAGAGTAGAGATGCGAAGACAGAGAGGGTCTGCAGCGCCGGTGAACGCTGGTCGGTCGGTCTGTCGGTCTGTCGGTCTGTCGGTCGGTCGGTCGGTCGTTCGGTCGTTCGGTCGGTATATAATAAGACAGACAAGAGGATAGTACCGAAATGAGGTGGTTTCGTCGGCAGCTTTGTCTGGCGCCGTGTTTAACATAGCAACACCTTATCTACGTGCCACGCTAACCCGCCACTCTGTAGTTGCTCCGTTTTTACGCGCGCTATTTCCTTCTCTGTCCACTTCTCGTTCCTCCCGCGATAAAAGATAGGCGGACAGCGAAGGAGACAGGGAGAAAGAGATAGAGCGGGAGGGAAATCAATGACACGCTCGGAACTATCGCGATCGCGATCATTTTCGCGTGGCAGAGCTGCTCGGTCTATCGCGATCGACGAAAATATCGCGCGTGCAAAGTGTCGATGCGAGAAAGAGTTGGAACGGTTAGAATCGATTTAATCTCGAGCTGGATTAACGTTCCTCTCGTTGGCCGTTTTAGAAACGGATGGAGCGCGCGCGTTCGCTCGTTTATTCGAGAAACGAGCCTTTTTCCTCGAATGCCGCGAGGTGAAACGGGAATCGATGGGACGAGCGACGCGAGCCGATGAGAAACGACGCTCGCGACGTTTCGGTGACGAATTTCAGCAGGCAAAACAGGATAAGGACGAAGCGAGATTCCGCGAAAAATCCACATACCTACGAGGGTGACTCAGTACCGGATCTCCTTGAGCGTTTTACGAGTGCAAATATCGTCGCTTCTATCGGCCGTCCACCACCTTTCCACTGTCGTTCTTTTCTCTTTTTCTCGCTCTATTTGTCCCGACTGCTTGCACTCGATTATTCCGACGAGCAGCGGATGCTGACGCGAACGGTCGCGCGCTACCAATCAACCACCATCGCCGAACCTTTCATTCATGATTCTTTCGCCTCCTCGTACCAAACTCTCGAGGAACGTCCTGCCTCCGACCATCCCCGACCAATAACGGATACGCCTTTCCTCGAAAAATACACCGGCTACGATCGTTTGTTCCAACGGTCGATAACGTAAGCGGATCCGTTGCGTAAACCCTCGTTTCCATTGCGAATCGCCGATGACGACGTCTTCCTCGACCAGGGCACCGATCTACCAACGCGATCTCGTGCTCCACGGTTTTTTTCCACATCGTTTGCGCGACACGCTACCCGCGAGTATTCCATGCGCACCGAATATTATTCGCGTTGGTTAGCCACTCGAAAAATACTCGCGGCAACGCGAGCCAATCGCCGTGATCGCGATCGTCGTGAGAATGGAATGTTGTCTGTAACCGACGAGTTCGGCTACAAAAGGGCATGTTGGCTCGATAAGCGCTTCAAGGCTGAGCCATTTTCCGAACGGGAACGCGTCACATGCCATGCTCGCTCCTCGTTCCTTTCTTTATCACCGATCGATCGACGCGACTACTGTTACTCGACAAATATTTTTGTTCACAAACTTTCCCCGAAGGGAGATACGTCGGGTGACGACCAGACACACGGGTAACGATAAAGATATACGCACGGCACGAACCCCAAGTGCGTGGCGATACGCACGACTCCGATATATCGGCCGGGGTCATCTTTCGGACCGAGTCGCCGATTCATTCATAACCGGGAAACTTGCGCGCGATACCGCCTTTACGTCGTCCCTCTGCTTATCGCTCTCTCTCTCCCCGCTCTCCTTTCCCTCTCTCTCCTCTCCCTCTCTCTCTCTCTCCATCTATCTCTCGTACATGCACACACGCGTACCAACGAGTGCTGGCACGCGCATGCGCGACACACACGGATACACGCAACTATGGGGAATAAAGAAAATAGCTGGACAGAAATGATACTCTTTACGACGAACTTTGCTATCCGTAATAAAACTCTCTCGGTATTTCCTAATATGGAAATATTAACAACCTAACCCGACGCGACGGAAAGAAAAACATCGATTCGATCCATTCAGTTTTGCGGATTCGTAATGACCTATGGACGTTCGTAATCTTAACGCGGATATCCGACAACGTCGGTGTCAAATGCTACGCGATCCGTTTCGGCTCCGGTCCATTTTGATCGGACCTGTTTACTAATCGGTCCCGTGACATTTGTATGTTTTCACGCAGAATCGGCGTAAATAAGCGCGCGATTTAAAAATACACCGACCATCGCAACTGTTCCAGAGTATCGAATCATTGGTCAACGGAATCGGAAACAGTCATTTGCATGCACGTGACGGTTCACGTGTTTGCGTGTCCTCGCAATGGTACTAATAAACGTCGCCATACCCCTACTATGATCTTCGCGCGTTTCATCGCCAGATCGTATCGCATCGTTGCGAATTATCTAAATCTCGACGTACGGATTCGTGAGCGAGACGCAAAACTTCAATGTTATCGGGCAAGAGATTAAAGCGGCAATTGGCAGGCTATCGCTGTGAAATAAAAGAAAATGAAAGAAAAAAGGAAAAAGGAAAAAGAAAAAAATAAGAAAAGAAGAGAACAAGAGGAAGAACGTAGATACGGGAGCATGCGATATCGTTGACATTTTCTATAAATAAAGTTTACGTTTTACGAATGGCTTTAGTATAAATAAAATCAACGTCATACCATTGGATGTAGTTGTACACGTCATCGCAGTGGCGGACATGGTTGTTTTCCAAAGTCAAAGGCGTAAGGCAGTAAGGAGAGCGTGGAGTTCGGGACAAGTCCAAGTGGTGGGAAGATGAAGCGGGGCAAAGGGTGTGGAATGGAATGCGCGGCGCCTAGGGCTCGTTGAATTCCAGGGCCACACGTGCCCTTCCCCCGCGCTACAAGCACCCACTGCTGCCAATAAACTTTGCCTGCGGCTGGCACTCGCGACCGACCACCATAGAACTCATTCATGGGGACCTCCTAACACGCGCTCGTAACTTGCGCTCGTTCGACGCATCAACGGTGCTACCGTCTATCGGCCACTCGCTCAACCTCCTTCCCAATTGTAGCCATCTGTGGGCCGACTCGCGACGCTTCGTTCGCAGCTACCACACCGTACAGTAGCGACGCTTACTCTAACTACACGTGACATTCATATATTTATTTATCGACGCGTATCGAGAGACAAAAATTATTCTCCAACACTGCAATCCATGTCGCTTCTATATTACTTTTCTTTTTTTTTCTTTCTTCTCCTCTTTATATTTTCAATGTAAACGTTAAATAGATCGCGTAGTTTCGAATAAACGTAAATACGTTCTGAACGTATCGAGGAATGTTTTCGCAGTTCTTCCAACAATCCTTTTAACCACTTAACAATGATTGATATGTAATGAATCTGATAGACCCGATTGATCCAAGTGAACAACTTTAGCGTATTAGAATTCGATTGAAATATCGCAACGTAACATGTATTACGATATTCTTAGCACTATCGTTCCCTAACAAAGTCGTTTTTTATCGCGTTAATCATTAGTTGTGTTTAAACAACAATATCTATTAGATTATAGAAACTACGACTACTGTGTCTATTGCACGAGTTAGACTTGCGCACGTGTATTCTTTATTTACAGGAATGTACTAACGTAGCTTACCTTGCATTTTCAAAAGTTGCTGATGCACTGCTACCCACTGCTGCGAATCCGACTCCGACTGCCAGACCTTCTGGGATATTGTGTACCTGATTGTACATCGTAAAACATATTATAAATATATATATAAATATATATATATATATATATATATATATATATATATATATGTACGTATCTCGAAATGACAAATTTATGTTGTAAATGAATATTTAAAGAAAAATCGATCGGTGAATTTACGTACCGTAATAGCGACAACCAGCAATAAAACTCTTCTCCATTGATTATTTTTACATTCGTTGTTAGGATTCTCGTAAATCGTGCCTATTTCTCCGTGCTCTGCTGGCCTATTTACATTTGCAATTTGACGTCTTCGGGTATTTTGTTCGTAGAAACCTGAAAAATTCAACGATGACAACGTTGCGGACTAACATTTTGATCGATACCTGTTAAAAGAAGCGTAAATCAGTCATATAAAAATGTATGTATGTACGTATGTATGTATGTATGTATGTATGTATGTACGTACGTGTGCGGGTATATACATATATGTATGTATACGCGCATTGTAATTCTATGTTTTAAATATAAACGTAACGTTTCCCTTTCATGTTGTTTGAATTAAAGCGTAGTAAAGCTTATTATATTTTAATACCCGGTATTTTCTATTACATTTCTTTGTACTTCCTGTCTAATACACTTTAGATCCGCAGGCAGGATTAATAAGATCAGTTTTACAAGTAGTTGAACTTTTTTAAACACGAACTACATGGATAGATAGATGTTGTTATTGATTTATTTTATCGGTAAAAATATATCGTGATTCAAAGTTATTACAAAGAAAGTAAATTTATCACGTTAACAGGCTTCGTTCCGATTCATCGAGATGTCCTATCTTCATTCTGCAGATCGTGTTTTTGTAAGTTCCACTCGTTGCTTTGAATGTGCTTTCATGCATATACTACTATCTTCTGCACATTTTGCTAAATGTAAGAAGCATTAACACAGACAAACATTCTAGTTAATCGTTAACTACATGGTAAGAGACATTATACACGATAAGTACGACTAAAACAATATGCCTTGTTCCGAAATAAGCAGCAGCTCGTTATTCGCGTGAAATATGCAATAAGGAAGATCGTATTTACGTTGCTTGCGGAAACGATCGGAGAATATGATTTAAAACCGGTAATCGTGAAGCCGCTCGTTTCTGAACAAGTTGGTTATTTATTGTACGAGAAAGCAAAGAGGGGCGAGTGTACATTGACAATTTTTATACACAGACACAATATACACATGTATCGTGAACTGATCCCATTTTCCAAGCCTACAGAGAGAATGTTACAAGAAAAAAATATACCATCGATTGTGGTCGATTCGATTTGAGTATACATTTTTCCACCGGATATCTGTACGTCGTTATACGGATCATAATCGTCTAAATCCTCGTCACTCTTTAGTTTTGCAAGGATCTTGCGTCTTTGTTTCGTACCGACTGACTGCATAGCTAAAAGCACATTGGGGGACTGAATGCCAAGAGAAGATATCAACGCGTCCGTCCCATAAACGAAAGCCGCGCCTATGAGAAATCCAACTCCGATTGGTACGAACGCGTATTCGCCCTCAGCTCCGTAAATTTTGCTCTTTGTCGCCATTTCGATAGCAGGTGCCAGTAGGGACCAGTAACTTGCCGCTATCATTACGCCGGCCGCGAATCCCAGGCTGATGTCCAACAATTTACGCTGCAATAAAATGCATTTAATCGTTTCACATTTCTTATTCTACGTACGCTTAAGCTCTCAAATAACATTTTTTCCAAATTTCTCTCTCTCTCTCAAAGAGATAGTAACGATACTGATAAAGTGATTACAGATCTATGATACATCTATTATCGTAGAATGCATACGGAAGTATGAAGTATCATAGAACGTAATTTTTTTACAATATCTTACATCGTTTTTTATTTTTCTTTTCTTTTTTCCTTCTATCTTTTTGCCACGCTTAAAATATCATTTGCATATCTTCGACGTACACTGAATAACTAAAGAACACATTTTCTTTTCTGATAAATGTAAATTTTCTCTGTACCGTTCGATTAGGATATATTTAATCTTATCAGATAAAGTTTAAACGGTGAACGTGTATATATACAAAGAAAAGAAAACAGAAGTTTAAAAAGGAAGAGAAAAAAAAAGAAAAAGAAAAAGAAAAAGAAAAAGAAAAAACAAACGTAGTAAAGAAAAAATACGCGTTAACTGATAAATAACGTTGAAATTGATTACATTAGTTGCGTAATATGTATATACTTTCTTTCTGACTGCTTTATAAAAAGAAACGATGGTTCTTATGTTAATTAGCACTTAACACCGTAATCAGAAACAGATATCACTGGTGCTTTATTGGCAAGGTTTAATAATACTATTTGAAATGACACATTATTTACATATTATGACGTGAAAACTTCTGCATCAATAGTAAAACGTAAAGCACTGCGAATAACGTGTTTTTTGCTACGTTCAAATATGTTTAAACACGGCAAGCGGAAGTCTTACGTTTTCAAAACGGTGAAATTCCCGCGGAGAATATACGATGAAGCCGGATAAGGTTAGTACGTGTTTCGTAAGATAGGTTAGGATCGAAAGTATATAGTTTAGATTCATGCAACAATGAATACGTAACGTAATGTAAGCCAGTAAAAGGAACGCTATTAAAATCGATTAAAAGAATAGAGTAAATAAAGAAATAAAGCTTACTTGCTGTCCTCGAATCACGATGACAAGTGCGGCACCCGCTGCGGTGAGAGCCCACGTAAATAACGTTCCTAGGAGCGCCTGTGTGATCGGCGAATAATTCTTTAACATCGTATTAATCGTTAAGTCCGTAACACCTTAGATTATACCGCACATCCTCTGCAACGTGAACCACGAGAAACTGTTTCGTGGGACGCAAAATCCACTGATATGCATTCAGTCCCCCGCACTTATCTCAGCCTCCTCCACCACCATCACCACTACTACCACTGTAGCCGCCACTGATACTACCTTTATTAGAGTTACTATCACTACTGAATATCGACGCTACCATTGCCACTTTACCACTACCAACGCATATTCGCGTACACTCGTTGTACGATGACTTCGTTCCTGCACTTGTCAATTATAATTTCCGGGCAAGATACGCAAAACGTTGACATGAAACCGGACGAGCATACGTAGCTGACCACATCGTAAACATGCGTTTATCACTCTTCGCCCTTACGTACAAATGGGGTTGCTTGTACATACATATGACGCTAGGCACTTTCTCAATTGACCAATAGAATTTGTCATTTCCAAACCACCAATCCGACAACAATCTACAGAGGCATGCTCGAAATTCAAACTATCCGAATCTGTAACTGAATTATGTGATATTTTTATCGATACTTGTCTTATTTCGAACATACTATCGAAGCACTTTCGAGAATGTTAATGATACGTAATCGATCACAGACTCCTTTCATTTCCCTTTTAGCATTTTAATTCAAAATACACCGATGTATGTTTCGCGCTTTTTTCGATCCTAACGAGGCGTTAGCATCGCTGGAAGCTTTTAGCAAAACACGCTAACATGGCGGCTGCGTCGGTAAGTGTTCGGAACGTTTTAACGTATCCGATTTCCATACGTCGACGTCAAGTGTTTTCTTTTTGTTCCATTTTTGAGGCACCAGTTTTCTTTAAAGCACAACAGAAGAATCGTGTTTATTGCGTAAAAATTGAAATTGTTTCGTTGCCGGGTCGAAACAATTATTATTGACATTTGTTCGTGAATCTCTGTACGTATGTATGCATATCGGTTGAAGTTTTGTTCAAATCGATATTTACAATTATTATTTCGCAATATACAAAATATATTTTAATTCCTTCATATTGAAAATGCCTGTCTGTAGAAAGGAAAAGAAAATATAAAGGTTATTTAAGAATATTGTAACAACGGTTTGACATGTATCGTTTTTATCTGTCAACGTTTAAATTTTCTTATGGTATGATTTCATAGATTCCTTTGCTAATGGATGACGATATGATTGCTTTCGGAGAAGAGGATGAACCTGGTCAGAATGGCAATAAACTTAAGTATATAAATTGTAATTGTATAAATAGCTATGCGTGAGTAACTAAGGTTAATACATTGACAATGAATCAAATTCTTATAGACACCCGTATGTCACCATGTTTCACTTAGCCTTCAGAATAGCTGCAATCGTAGCTTATATGTTATGTGGGTGGTTTTCAAATAGTTTTATAACTAGTTTTGTAGTTGTTGTATTACTTTTGTCAATGGATTTTTGGACAGTTAAAAATATCACTGGAAGGCTGATGGTTGGTCTTAGGTGGTGGAATTATGTGGACGATAATGGAAAAAGCCATTGGGTATTTGAATCCAAGAAGGTTTGTTCTTGATTTTTACGAGTAAAGAGGAATTTGCTTTTAAGAGCTGATGTATAGTCCTTGACGTTTGAACTTGCTCTGTAGCTACTGTTCGAGTTATTTATTTCTTATTATTGTATACACTTTTTTATATTTCTTTTTACATTTTGGTAAGCACTGACTTTTGCTTAAATAAATAGTTCAAGGCTCGCTATTAGATTTCACATTTTATGCTCTTGACACGTACTGACCAACAAAAAAATGTTACAGTTATGCAAAAAATTTCATGTTCTATGACTCTTTGTGGACTACGAAATAGAGAAAACATAGAAAGTATGATAATTGCTTATCGTAAAATACAAGGTCTATTATGTGCCCTGTGTTTCAGGGTATACAACAGAATCGCATTAATACTACAGAGGCCCGTATCTTTTGGCTAGCTTTAATTCTCTGCCCACTTTTATGGTCTGTATTTTTCATAGTGGCTCTATTTAGCTTGAAGTTTAAGTGGTTATTGCTCGTTTGTATTTCAATTGTGTTAAATGGCGCAAATTTATACGGATATGTAAAATGCAAAATGGGGAACAATAAAAATATTTCGACAGCCACCAGTGATTTCTTGAGGAAACAAGTCATACAAAATGTTAGTAAATAAAGTATAGTTGGATGGCTGAAATATTTGTAGACTATAAAAGACCACATGCTATCGTTTCACAGGTTACGTCCATGATGAATAGGAGTCCGCCCTCGGGTAATCCGAATGAACCATCTAGCGTGATATAAAATTTCCAATCACGACGTTATTTAAGATCAATGTCGGCGTAAAAGAATATCATTACGAATAATATCAATTTGTATATAACGACATACTGACAATTGTCTCGTTTGTCTCGACGAGGTACCGTAAAATAAAGTTGATATGGAAAATGTTGTTGTTCGGTTATTTCCAGTTGTTTCCATATTTCGAAATAAGAGTTAAGTTGAAGAAGAAAATGTGAAGGTTACGTTAGTTATTAGTTTATTGATGCCACAGGGCAATACATAATGTACACCTTATTTCTCCTCGTCAACAGACTTTCTATTACACAATATTTAATTTGTATAGGTGTTAATTAGTAACATTGCATTTATTATATTCACTTCAGCCTGTTGTATTCTTTCTGGCAAGAAAGTATCACAAAATAATTTCCCATTCTTTCAACGATATTTAATATTTGACTTATTCTTTGTTTCTTTAATTCACATTTTTCTCGGAATTAACGACTGCAATCGCACGACTACAATCTTATCCGAATGGATGAACTCGAGATGAACTCACACACAGTGTAATATACTCGTCGTGGTATTGCACGGAGCAACAATGGCCGATTGTATTTTGTTGTATTAGAAAAGACTGCTCCGAAAACGCGAGTTATATGCTTTTTAAGAAGAAGAATACAACAAACCACATATTGCTATACACTCTGGGATATAAAAAAATTATAAACACTAACAATAGACACGCAGCTAACGTACAACATACACAAAACTTTTGGAATGATACAAAAGAACGTAATAACGTTACGATCGGTATCTTATAAATATATGAATATCGTGGACTTCTTTGTATTGGTAAATTCATCGGATACAATTTAATGCTACTAACTTATAACTAGTAATATGTTTATACAATCATTTACTTTTTCGTTTTCCGTAACATATTGTATTTTTAGTCTGGAACTTTGAACGCGAAGTTGTCGACCATCCTGGCGAAACTGCACTTTGTGCAAGATTATAATTCCTTCTCTCTTTCGTTCTTTCAATATATAATCTTTCAATATATATATATGTATATGTATATGCACGTGACTCAAAATTGTGTACACATATGCATGTGGCTCGAAATCATTGTACCAAAGCTTTTAAAGTTTATTTCATCTTTTTTCACGGATATTGTAAGAATCATACGAATAGATCGTTCGAACTAAAATCGTTACTTTTTTTTCGCTTTTTTTTTCTAATAACTTTACGCGTATTATAGATTTGATATCGTTCGTTATCGTTCAATGGAATGTAATTTTTTCTTGTTTTTTTTTTTTTTTTTATGCACATTGGTTTCTCAGCCTTTTTAGTTTATATTTCACCAATCGTAGTTTCAAACTATGGTACATTTTTTTTTTCTTTTCTTCTTTTTTTCTTTTTTTTTTTTCGGAGAGAGAAGTTGTTTGAAGGATTACTTAATCACTGCTGATTTAATTCACTGACAAACAGCCGTTTCGTGTCTCTTTATTGCCAGCGTGGTAAGAACGAATTTATATTCCGAGGCAGAAGCACGATATTGCTAATTACACATATACGAATGAAACGTAAAAAAAAAAAGAAAAAAAAAAGGAAAAAACGAGGAGGGGGAAAGAAGAAGATAATGTACATGTAATAAATCTCGTCAACGATATAAAAAACAAAGGGAGAAAAAAAAATAATTATAAAAATAGAATTATTTCGAGAGTAACTTTCGTGCTCGTACCAAAGGCCAGTAGTATACAACGATAATAGAGGAACAAATTTCAATCAACGCAACTACTACAAGCGAGAAAAAGTCACGAAAGAAATCAAAGTGGATGCGTGTAAATTACACATGTCGAAGAAAAGAATGCTCGGTGAAATCTCGAAATTGCAATGGACAATAAGAGAGAGGCAAAGATTAAGTATAGTATAATCTTTCGTAACGACGACCGATGTGGTTTAAGTACTATTAAAAAGTACCGAAAATACACGTACACGGTAATACATTAGACACGCAATGGCCTTCAGTCTTACAACATCAAATAAAACGATATGAGATATGAATAAATGCACATGTTCGAAAATCATAATGTAGGTTAATTAGTCATCAATGTAAATCTCGTGTAAAAAAATAGGTACGCAAGTCAAGTTGCCCGAGAAGAACTTATAACAACGATAAAAACGGTATAAAAGGGCGTGATTGGGAAATTGAAAAGCGACGGAAATCTTATGAATACTTATAACAACGTGCTTTTCGATGGAAAAAAGAGAAACAGAAACATATCGATCTTGACAGTCTATAAAATATCCACAGCTTTTTTTTTCTTTTAAATGCGTACTCTCTTCAATTACGATATTTATAATATATATCTATGTATATATTATTTATCATCTTACTTATGTATATTTATATTTATATCCATATTTATAGTTATATTTATATTTATATTTATATAATATTGTTAATGACAAACGGTGCATTTATGTACACTTAGTCACAATTCCTGACCCTCGAACCACTTTTAACCGAAAAAGCGTTATCTATTTGACCGCGAACGCTTTGAAATTTAAAAGTTTCATCTAAGAAGGTAATAATGTATCGATATCATTTCATTCGTTTCTTTCTTTCTTTTGCTCACCTCTTTCTTCCGTTTTTGCTCGTAGAATTCTATAACGAGCATAGAGATTATCGTATAGAAACAGTCGAAGCCAAAAGAATGCCAAAAACGCGAAAGAGGTTCCATTTCGCTTGGGCGAGTATACTTGTTAACGCTACTCATACATATACACACATATGTACCGTATATGTTTATAAATAGAAATTTTTGCTCTACCATTATCGAACAGCGATAAGACGACTTTATACCGAACGGTACGATGAAAATTTGGAAATGTAGAAGATATATAAACGAGTACATGCTTATTGTCCTCATAGACTACTTAAAATTTGTTGTAAATCTTTGAATCGTAAGTAGTAGTATACAGGTCGGAAATTTCTATCGTTGTTAAAAAGGATACGCGGCGTAGGATCGATTGCAATGTATGATCGATGATTGTTTTTGGCATTGATTTGGTATGCTGTCCGTGCCAGGAACACGAACGGTCGAATAATTACGATGACGGATGATCGAATAATTTACGCGAAGTTTCGTTGATTCTCCGTAGGTTTCGATAAGCTATGTTCTCCGATGAATTGTACTTGAAACGAGTTTAATATCCAGCGTGTATCTTTCACGGTTTCGATGTCGAAAACCGTGCTAGAGAATGTTCGAAATTTGGTTAAACGGTGGTGAATAGCTTAGCAACTGGGAAAATTGTAAAAGTAGTCGAGGTAGAAGCCTACAATGGAACTTTGTACACATGGGCATCGAGGGTTCGTGGGAACAGTTCGCAAATCCGACATACAGTGCTTCTAGTTAGTTAAATTAGTTCGCGTAGAAACCTGCACAACATTTTTTGTGCATTTTAATTGAATATAGGCACCGTTTCCTTTCATACTTCCTTCATTCGACACAGTCGCATTATTTTTTCTTCTTCTAATGGCATCGCTTACAAACTAGTCTTAGAACAACCGCCTTACGATCTACTTAAAGTTACAGTAGGTAATGAGAAGATCCCTATCGTGCGTAATGGGTTCAGCATGAATAATTGTCGATTTGGCAGTATGGTAATTTTCACGTCGCTGAGCGGAAATTTACGTCTCTGTGAATTCTTCTCCCTCTTATATTATCGAAATTCTCGCAATTACTCTCAGATTTCGGTATTCTCGCGATATCTTTTCTGTCTCGCACCGATAAGTACTTTTGGAATGTGCCACCGCGCACTTTCTTCACAACTTTGTCCCGCCTTTCGCGTAGCGCGCGTCATTCTCCGCCTATAGCTGCTCATTTTCATCAGGAGTTGCATTACACGTTTCCCACTAATATGGAAGCACTGTTCTTCTCCAACGAATAGGAAAGTTTCGACTGTTCGACGTACAACGAAATAATATCGCGTATATACGTTGATGTCTGATCGCGAGGCACACGATCGCAAAATCATAATCCTCGTCAATTTTTTTCGCTATTCTTAGATTATTTAAAGCAACAGCCATTGTCGGGCGATTCGGGAGATGCGTAATCGCGAGCTATCTCTCGAATTCTCCTCGAGTTGGATATGTTTTAGTGATCGAACTTTCGATTATGATTTCTTCGTGATATTTCTTCTCGCTTGTCAATCATTTTCCGCCCGATTCTCATCGATTTTTAACTCGACAATGTCTATCTTGTTATTTCCTGTGTATACGTGTATGCGTATGAGTCTCTCTCTCTCTCTCTCTCTCTCTCTCTCTCTCTCTCTCTCTCTATCTCTGTGCGTGTAAGCTGCCTAATTCTCTTTTTCCCTCTTTCCTTCTTTGTGTAATTCGTGTTTGTGTGCACTTTTGTGAGCGCGCGCGCGCGCGCGCGCGTGTGTGTGTGTGTGTGTATGTTTGTGTGTTCCGAACCATAAAAGAAATTTCGGTAAGAGATGTTTCTACAGATATGATAGTATTTCTACGACTTTGAGCCGTACGCTCTAAACGGCAGTCTTTTGTCCCGTCTTTGTCGTACGAGAATTTGAATGACAATCGATTCAGCGTTTACGGTGGAGATAAAAGTGAAACCTTTCCGCGTATCTTGAGGCTGTTGCAACACCACTGACTATAACATACTTGGCTACTACGTTGTTGTTCGAGAGGTTAATAATTTATCGCTTTTCTACTGTATTTGTCATTGGAAGGTACGAGTATAGTACGCTTTGCTCTGCAACCACGGCGTACAGGCAACATACTTACGAACTTACATACTTTTCGAGTACTTCATCGTACTAGACGCGTCGCACTTTTGCTCGTTCGCCGACCTCTCTCTCGTTTCTCTGTCGATCTCTTCTGTCTCTCGTCGATTCTCTTTCTTCGCGAGTGTCGGCTTGTCAGTTGGCGTAGTGATCGAAGGAGCCCAAGTATTCCAAACTGGCACGATAGCAGAATTGATACTGATCCTACGGAGACAACGCGTAATTACACAATTGTATCATAGCTACGTTACATCGAAGAAACTGATTCGCCAAACTTACTCGGAAATACGTGAAATATGTACGAACCTCGGTTTGAACCATGGCCGGTCGTTGCGTGCGCAATATTCTGACCGTTTGGAAGATGTCGACCACTCCTTCGTACTGCATACGTTCCAGCACGATGCTGAGCGAGATGAATACGCCGGTTCTGCCAACGCCAGCGCTGCAATGCACGGTTATCGGTCCGTCCTGACCAAATTGTTCCTTCGTTTTGTGCACCTGTCCAATGAAGTCGATGAATCCGTCGCCGGACTTTGGAACACCTTGTTCAGGCCAGTCGATGAACTGAAATTGTCTGACCGTACGACTCGCTCCGTCTCGCGCGTCCGTCACTTTGAACTCTCGTAAAATATACTGGGGCATGTTGTACTCGGCGATGGGATCGACGACGAAGCACTGATAACGGATCGACCTATCGGACGGCCAGTACTGATGGCACTTTTCCCTACCCATCTCTTTTAATTTCGTCAACATGACCACGATCGTGGAATTGTGCTCCCATAGCATACGCCAAAAGTCGTCGGTAGTGTCGCAGAGAGGTCCCTGTGTCGCTATGTAGGCACCCCGATATCGATACCCGTCGATCAAACTGGCGTTTATGTAATCGGATCCTTCTATGTTGCGTTGCGGTTGCAGGCATACTCTGGTACACTCGTACGGTAAAATGTGTACTAGCCGGTTTTTGTGTTTATTGCAGGGAAGGTTCGCCGAAATGAATCGAGACGAGTCCACTTTGATGTTGGACAGTTTCTTGAACTCTAGTTCCATGCCGGTGATATTGTCGATTTCCGGCTGCATCAGCTTTTGTATGTGGGAATGCAAGTTTCTGGCAGGCACCTCGGTGTTGCCACAGATCACCGCCTCGTACAGCGCATCGTGAATGAATATGTACTGATCCTCCGTTTGGACCATGTAGTTTCTTTGAGCACGCAGGCAAGTCACGTGACCGTATATATCGATCATCTTCTCGTGCTTGATTCTTTCGAGCATCGAGTCGATAACTATGAAGCAACCGGTTCTTCCGACACCGGCGCTACAGTGTACGATCAGTGGTCCGCTTTCCGGTGGATTCAGAGACCTGACTCTTCGCAAGAACTGCAAGAATGGCGCGGGATGCTCGGGTACACCGTGATCCGGCCAGGCCGTGAATTGCAACTGTTTTATCTCGCGTCTCTCAGAGTAGCCTGCCCGTGATATTTGGAAGGTTCGAATGCAGTAGGTAGCCAGCTCTTGAACGTCGGTAATCGTCACCGTCATCAAGCCGTACGTCTCGGATCCCCTGCTCGGCCAATACTGATCGCACTTTATCCTCGTCCTTTCCTCGAGCTTCGTCATCATCACGATCGTACTCGATCTCAATTCCCAGCACATTCGCCAGAAATCACCGAACGTTTCCTGAAGCGGGCCTTGCGTGGCTACGTACGCGTTTTGTTTCCTATAGCCGTCGCAGTAATTGGCGTTTATATAGTCCGTACCCGACATGCCGTCGATGGTTTGCAGAATTACCCTGGAATGATCGTAAGCGATCACGTTCGCGTAACGATTCTTCGAAGCGTTTACTTCCATGTTGGAGTGGTCCCAAGTGAATTGTTGTCCGGGTTCGATAGACTCGTACTCTTGACTGAATTTTAGATTGTCGTTGGTTTTTAGGCGCTCGATGTGATTCCCAAGCTCGCTGATCGGAATCGGAGGATGTGACGCCATGCCAGGTGTTTGGAAATTCAAACGGCGCATTTCGACTGGATCGGATGGGGCGTGATTCGAACTTATGTCCGCAGCCATCAATGGCCTAGTGACGGCAGCTTGATCGGGTGCTTTGCAAGGTTGTCTTCGTCTAAAGTAATCGCAAAATCATTGTAAAGCAATCGTATATATGGGCTAAAGGTACGTGTGGGCCGCGTACGGATGAGCTTTGATCTTTCAGCTTAATCGATAAACCCGGAACCAACTGACCAACGCAATTACGCGGCATTACTCTCGTTTATAGCATTAAGCGTTAATTATTTTAAATGAACAGGCGCATTACGGTCGAAAATCATTGAAACGATTCCCGCATAGAAGCGGGAGTGACTCCTCTTTTGATATGTTTCTTTTACTTCGCATCGATACGATCGTCCGTTTCATAGATATCGTCGATCGAAGAGAAGCATGATAACATCTTTTAACACCTCGACGGTATGCATGGTAGTCGCACTTAAAATAGAAGAAAATGTCATTTTTCTTCTCGAACATTTATCACGCTTCGCTTCTCGGAGGTATTATATATACGTATATATGCCTCGAGGACCGACGGAAACATCGATTCGGATAACGAAACGTTTTGGAAAATACACACGTTTAAACGATACTCTATATTTACAAGGAAACTTTACGTCGCGGTACGTCGTCGGTTTATCTCGCTAATCGTCATTAATCAAAGCTTCGTTAAGCCCTTTATACTTGCTTTTTAAGATACTTACTTTTTAATAACGAAGAGGAGAACGAGAAATACGCTAACCATTAAGGCGGCTATTATCGGGCCGACCACCCATACCATACCCGGTTCCTGACCGCTGGTTTTTACCGACACCTCCGGATTTCCATCCACCGGGATATTCGGATTGGGACGTCGAGGCGGTTCACCCGGTGGCACTTCCCTCATATCGAGAGACAAGTATTCGGAGAACGGCGACGAGGTATATAGGTGCTGCAACGCGAAATCATATTCGCCGTTTGTTAATAATTCCAGTGAATACTTAGCTTCGCTACGAGCAACATTCCACGTTTTCATACCGTTTTCGATGTTTCGACGACGGCACGCACAAAGATTCTGTACCGTTTGCTCTTCTCGAGCTTTCGATTTTCGTAACCCTCGTATATCTCTCCGCTGCCAAGATGAAACGTATACGGTATGTCTCTTTGAGTAAATTTGGCAGCGATGTAAGGAGCATTTTCTCTTTCTTGCTTGGCACCTTTGCCCGTGATCATGTCCTCGGTTAATTCGTCCGGTTGCTTGTTAGCCGTTGATGCGTCCTCGGGCACAACGATCAAATAGTAGTGAGAGATCGGTCCGTATTCCTCGGAAGCCTGAGGTAAGATCACTTGAATCTCTTCACCGTTCACCACGCCATAGAAATCCGGTTTAACCATAGGCTTCGGGGCTGCCATTTGCGTGGTTACGGTCATTTTTGCTGGCGGTCTATACTGACCGTCCCGCGGCACCGCGCTCACGTTCACGTTGTACGTGGTGAAGGGTTGCAACTCGTTTATCGTAGTCGTCGTCACGGTGGGATTCAACAAAATCTGCCTACGAGGAACGGTCTGAGTTTGCGTGATACCCTGTGAATCGACAAACTCCTTAACGGCGTCGAAGGAGACTTTGTAGTTCATGGGGTTGAGCCGTATCGGAGGTTTCCAGGATAGGGTCATGGAGTGAGTGGACGAGTCCGGTGCCCTAAGTTCCAAAGGCACATCTTCCGGCTTCACTTTCACCGTTACCTTCTCGCTGAGCTTTCCCAGACCGGTCTTGTACCTCGCGGCCACCGTGATAGCGTACTGAGTAAATTTTTCCAAGTTCACCAGGTCAGCCGATTCCGTAAGACCGACCGTCTTTTGTTTCCACTCGTCTAAATCCTCCACGGCTGTCGTCGTATAAAATATCTGATAACCTACGATTTTGCCACGATTAGGGACTGGCTCCCACCAAACTTCTACGCTAGTGTCCGACGTGGCTACCGCCTTCACCGACATCGGTGCCCGGGTAATATCTTTCTCGGTTATGATCGTGATCTTCTCCGAGTACGGACCACTCCCTTTAGACGTGCGCGCTCTTACGTGAAACACGTACTCCGTATTCTCCTCCAAATTCGTGAAAACTGCTCTCGTCTTAGTCGTGTTCCGGTCGATGGTCGTCGAGTGATCGTTCTTCTTGTTGAACTGAACGTCGTAGTTAGTTATCTGACCGTTCCTGTGCTGTCGCAGAGGTTTATCCCACGTAACGCACACCGTGTCAGGTGTTTGGAAGAAGTAGGACAGATTCGTCGGTGGTCCGGTAGGCTCTTCCTCGGGACTAAACCAGTATTGTACCGTTTCTTGTCCAAAACCAATCGCGTTTCGCCCGGCCACCCTGAACTCGTACTCCACTCCTCGTTCTTCTACGAAAATCGAACGCGAATCGATCAATCGATTAGGAACAAGCGGGTGTACGCGTCGCTCGACACGCTCGTCAACGGTAGGTACAGAGACGATGATCTTACCGAGATCGGTGATTTTGTAAACGTGTTGATTGGTTCCTTGAATAAATTCTTCCTTGAGCGTTTGGTTTTTGATCCCGTATCTTATCCTATAGCCTAACAGCTCGCCGTACGTTTGCGACGGTCGTACCCATTCGAGCTTCAGCACGATCTCGGGAGTCTTGGACGAAACTCTGGGAACGGAGAAACATATTGAAAAAGAAGAAGCAGCGCACGTGGTGAAATTGCGTCGAATGTCCAGAACGGTGTGCACCGGAAGCTACGTACTTTATATTAACGTCGGGCCTGTTGGGTACTCCTCCGGGAGTTTTCACGTCGACAGGCATGGAACGATCACCGTCTCCTTTTCTCGTTAACGCGGCTACCTGTACCGAATAGCTGGTGTCGGGTTGCAAGCCGGTAATGTTCACTTCCAACACGCCTTCGTCCACGTCGCGTCGTATCGGCTCGTTCAACAGATCCTTTCCCTAAAGAAGAGAAACGAAATATCGCGATTAGAGAATTTGGATGTCCGCGGGATACGCGCTGGTGCCTGAGCGTGCATGCGCGCGCGATCTCGCGCTCGATCGACTGACCTTCTCTCCCACTTCTTGCACGTGTATGTGATAACCTCTTAACACGCCGTTTTGTTCTTTCAATTTCGGTGGTTTCCATTCCACGTGTATCGCGGTCGAATTGATCGGCGTCACTTTTACGTCTTGAGGATCACCCGGTACTGGAACGCAAAGATCGATTAATTCGTGCACTTTACGCCCGATGGTGCGCTCACACGCACAGTCGCACGCTCACGTACACATGGTAGCAGTCATACTTGAAAGGGGGTTCAAACGATATCGTAACGAGACAGAAAAACCTGAAAAAAAAAAATAAACAAGGAGGTTTAGCCGAACGGAAAGAAAAGTGGGGGTTGCCCGATGAATCCTGTCTGTCCAGTGGATCGAAGAAGCAACTAAAAATTCCTACTTTCTCTACCGTTCATGTTCGTGAATAAACGAAATGCGAACCAGCTATGCGGAAACATAATATAACGATCGATTTATTGTCTCGTAATCGGTGTAATCGGTGTAATCGGTGTAATCGGTAACGGTCCGTAATAGGTCGTACATGTCGTACACGAAAGGAAGAGACGCGTATAGCAAAAAGTACGGCAAATCAAAGCGTCGTATATAGCAGTTGAAAAATCGTGCGAGAAACGAAATAATTCAGCAACGTGTAACGAAACGAAAGAGAAGAAAGAGACAACGCAAACGAATGAAAACGAATAAAAACGAATTCAAGGAGAAAACGAGAAAACGAGAAAGATAATGAAATAGAACGAGTGATAGACAGACAGAGAGAGAGAGAGACGGAGAGAGAAAGAGAGAGTGTGAGTGAGAGAAAGAGAGAGAGAGAGAGAAAGAAAGAAAGAAAGAGTGAGAGAGATAGAGGGTTAGACAGAGAGAGAGAGAGAGAGACAGAGAGAGAGAGAGTAAAGAAAAAATAATGGAAAATATGTACATGCCACCAATCGCACACGGACAAAACGACGTCCAAACAATATTACGAGGTACGCGGTACCCCATGCTCTACGTCCCTACGACACGATAATCCTCCATTTGAATACCAATAATGTATGTTTTTATTCTGCATTCGATTTGAGAACACGAATGTACGAATGCGCGTATGAATACGTCATCGAGATGCAAGCGCGTGGTTACGTTGGACGATAATGCTACGGCAATATTGGAGAGTCCATGACGAACGAAACCAAGTTGTTTCGTATACATACACGTACACGCGCGCATACATATATGTATATACGGATGAACGCACGTATGCGTATACGTATACACGCGCGATGTACGATCATCGGTGCTGGGTGTGGATGAAAACTGTGCCAGCAAAATCGTGCAATCGTGTTTTTCGATAAACGTGCAAGGATAACAAAACGTATCACGCGAATTTACAGATATCCCGTCGATAAGTCGTCTCGATAATTTGTCGCGAACATCGTCGTTACGTCGTCTCTCTTTTGCTTCCCTTTCTTCTTTGTACTTTCTCCTCGACGTTACGCTAGAGAAATCGCGGAAAGCCAGTTGGACGGATATTTTCCTACTGTCTCGTTTTACTTTATTTTCCAGACGACAACGGAGGTGACAACGACGACGACGACGACGACGACGACAACGACAACGATGACGACGACCACGACCACGACCACGACCACGACCACGGCCACGACCACGACGAGGATAATAAGAATGTTTATTTGTTTCGCGCCGGGTATCGACGATGGACTGTCATGGACGGTCCAGTATCCGGCACCGGAAACGTTATATCGACATTACACAGAAAAATGAAAGAACGCAAGAAGAATTGTAGGAGAAAAGAAAGGAAAGCCTATGGTACCTCTAGGTTTGTACGAGATAACTGCAGCCTCTACAGAGTGTCGCAAAATAAAAATGCGTTGCAAGGAAGATACGACAAAGAAAAGCCAAACACATCTGCTGCATACAGAAATGCTGTATACAGGAGATGAAGTTTCCTTCGGTTATATTTATACGTAACGTGTTCGTTTGTTCTACCGTTACCGCTTTAGTTAATTTAACGTATCAATAATGCCCATAAAATTGCTATGCAACGCAAAAAACAAACTTGGCGAGCGCGCAATCGCAATCGCAATCGCAATCGCAATCGCAGTCGTAACTATTTACGCAGACGTAAATAGTTTTTCATTTTATTTATATTTGCTCGTCGACTGCAGCAACAAAAAGACAGTAAAAAGTAACATCTCCAAAATGGTCTTTCACAGAGAAAAAACAAAACGATATGCGAAAGAGCCGAAAAAAGGAAAAAATTGCGTACGTACACATACTTGTATGTATACGCTTTTGTATCGTATACATATGTATATTATAATAATACGTATATACATATGTATAGATAGACAAAGACAGAGAGAGAGAGACAGACAGAAAGAGAGAGAGAGAAAGAGAGAGAGAGAGAGAGAGAAAAAGAGAGAGAGAAAGAGAGACAGAGAAAATGATTAAATATAGGAAGAAAATTCATGGCACAACTCGAGACGAGCTAAGGGATACTCACCTATTACTGCGCCCCAAAAGTCGCCAAAAAAGTGGGAAAAAAAATCTCGTAAAAATTCGTGTCAACTTCTCACGTACATTGAGTAGAATTATTAAATATTTAATATATTTAGGCATATCAGTGGGTAGCATACTACTGATTATTATCAACGTCAACATGGCCTCTTTTACAGCTATTCTTTTTGCTCTGATTAGGGGGGAGAGAGTGATAGAGAAAGAGAGAAAGAGAGAGAGAGAGAGAGAATGAGATAGAGATATAGAGAGATAGAGAGAGAGATATAGAGAAAAAGGTATGAATTTTCGTCTGTTTCTCTGGTGAAACACGCACACGCGCACTCGCTCGTTCGTTCGTTCGTTCCCTCCCTCCCACGCGCTCGATTCCAATCGCACCCTCTGCTCTATTCGTAATATTTTTTATCGCTCTGCCGAGCAACGTCGGTGGACAAAGTTCTCTTTCGAATCGATCGTTAAATAGAAAAATATCGCTTGGTCCTCGGTTGCAGTTGGTCGCAGAGAGGCGGGAGATGTGAGAATATCTTTATGTTTTTTTTCTTTTTTTTTTTTTTTTTTTTTTTTTTTTTTTTTTTTTTCGTTCTTTTTTTCTTGTCATTTTGGCATGCGCAATCACTACTCCAAATATGAAATAACTAAAGGCTCATGTCCACCTGCCTCCTGCCGTCGAGAGAAAGACCTCTCCTCCATTACGCGGTACGTTGTAGAACGCGCGCGCGCGTGTGTTTTCCCGGATCGGACCCGGATCGGACCCGGATCGAATCGCACGTGGATCATCGTGGATCACGGCGACGATCGACACCGCGCCGCAACGACCAATCGACTCAACGCGGACAAGGAAGAACGCGAATAAACGAGAGGCCAGGAACACGACGAAAGAGTACTTTCCCTCGCGGCACGAGGCATCGAGAGAGGGAAGACCTATGATAAAATGTCTACTAAAAAAGAAAGCTAGGAAGAAAAAACCATAAGTAAGAAGAAGTGGGTTTGGAATATTGTATGGGGTGTACGGGGACGTAGATAAACCGCTAGCCCGCGTGCATTCGAAAGTCGTGAGAGAAAAAAAAGAGAAAAAAAAAAAGAACGATGTATGATCACGCGTCTCGTCTGATTATGCGGACGGAAAAAATTCACGCACGGAATAGACAAGGATGAACGAATCGGTAAAGGTGGAATGTTTTCGAGGAAAAATTTCTTTGTGTTCGCAACTCCAAAAAGTCACCCGCAAAAAACGTTAGCTCGATACAAAATTTCTATTATACTTGCTCATGGGGTAGATTCTCCGTGGGTGGGGTTAGAGAGACGGCGTCTTTTTTGTGTTTCTCTTTTTCGGAGTATACGATCGGGGGAGAAAAAAAAAAAAAGAAAAAAAAAAGGAACAAAAATTTCCGTCCCTCTTTCGTTCCACTTTGTTTTATTAGCAGCATCCACCCGCGCATTCACCCAGGCAAAAATCGCAAAATTCTTCGCAAAATATGCGCGTAATTACGATTGCGTGGTGTTTTTCGAATCGGTCGCGAGTCGCGAATAAACGTCGCGGTACACGCCGACACGCGGGGATCGCGTTTTCGATTGGTTCCTCGGTTAGTCGGTTTTATCGGCGTACGTAGCTCTGACGGATCGCGGACGACGAATCGGAAGGGAAACGAAAGGGAAAAAGCATGCGTTACGTCGTAGGAAAGTGAGAACGATCGGTTTTCGGTTTTTATCGGAGAGACGAACGGCGCGCGGGTCGTGTTCGTTGATCGCTCGATTTTTGTTCGTACTATTTTTCATAGCGTGCGACCGGGTAAAACTCGAGTCGATCGGGTAAAAGCGGCACCGCGACTCGAACCGCGCGACGAGCCCCGTTGCGGATAACGGATGGATACGTGAAAGGCACACACATACGAAGTAAAGTATACTCTTTCTATATACCTAGGAGAAGACGCAAAGGTATGTCGATACACGATATAAAGATATAGCAGCGAAACAATGGTTATATGTAATATATATATACATATAAAGAACGTATTATACGTACGAATAAAATACGTAATTCAATATTAAAGATACGATAGTTAACTTACAAAGAGGCAGAAGATTGGAAAAAAAGTAGGTCGGTGAGTTGCATGCAAAGAACGAAGGTGCACGTATAGAGATAGTAGAGTAAAGAAGGTTTGGTGTAACGATATGTATCATTCCAACGAGCTCGGTGAGTGTAAGAAATTTAACGATATCCCGCGTATTAACGATCCATCGATGTTCGTCTCGAGCGGACAGAGAGTGTTGTGTTGTCTCCAGTGGCTTACCAACCTTACCCCGCTACCCACCCCCCTTCCACTCGTCCAAGGGGGTTTTCGCTTTTCGCTTTTTCCGATATCAGCGAAACCTGGCGAGACGATGCACCCTTCTCTCTCTCTCCCTCCCTCTCTCGCTCTCTCTCCGCCGAGATCGACGCATCGCTGCTTCTTGTCACGGGCTCGTGGCTCGTCGACTAAACGGACAAAGATGACGAAAAAAAGATTGCATGGATATTGGTATTCAAATGTTTCGAAGCGAACAACGTCTTCTCGCGGCAATTCCCTTGTCCTCGCGTCGCGAATTTCGTTCGCGTGCTCAACGTAAGCCCGATTAAATTCGC